TATGATTAGCTCATGTGGTTTCCAAGGCAGCTAAAAAATTTTTCGAAAAAGAGGTCAAAAAAACTTTTAATAAATTATTAGAAAGGATTGTCTCGGATATAAATAATCATGGCAACTATCCTCAACATTTGATAAAATAAGATTAAAAATATCTCATGATTTTTATATTACCCATGTAACCATTTTTAGGTTTTGGGGCGCGTTTCTGAGCGTTTAACGCAATAGAACTTAACGCGTTTGGACGCGTCCAAAATGCAACATTTTCGGGTGTTCAAACGCGTCAGGACAAAAGAAACGCATCCAAACTCGTTTGACATATAAGAGCGTCACAACGCGTTTACGTATAGGAATGCGTTTGTAGGCGTCCAAAATGCAACATTTTCAAGCGTGAGAACGCGTTCAGAGAGCTGAACGCGTCTGGATGCGTTCACTTTTTTTGTCAAAAAAATTTGAAAAAATAACCATCACTCTGTGTTGGATTCGAACCGACGCATCATAGCTAACTATGATATAACACTTCAATACTGTGAACAACAGAGTGGAATTTTTTCGACGACAGTTTGAACCAAGATTTGAACACACGACCATCGATTACGAGCCGAACACAAGTAACTCTCAGCTATTTACAGCTCGAAGTTAGTTACATGTTCATAAACCGAACGACTAACAATTTTTGAAGCACTTATAAGAAAATTCTAAAAATAACGTTGATTATTATCATTTTGTATATGAATATCAATAGGGCTTTTTATACAATAAAAATAAACGCATTTCTCATATTTATAAACAACGAATAAAAAGAAATAAAAAATTTTATTATCTAAAAGACGAAAAAAAAATTAAAGAATAAATTAATACCTCTTTTTGATAAATAAAAAAATTTGTTCTATAATAAAATAAACAATCTCTATTTCATTAATAATAGAATATATACTGTTATTTAAAGTTGAGAACGCTGTATGAAAATATATGGAAAAGTCTTATCTGTATCGACAAATTTGTAACTATGGCATTACAATTTTTGTAGAAGTTTTGAGATAAAACAAGATTAGGCCTTCATAGTACAAGTTATTCTTTGACTTCGCTGATTTTATTTGTAAATTAAGTATTCATTTATGCTCTCTTACAACTTAAGAAATTACTCACCTTTACTTTTAAACATAATGAAGATTTTCTTTTTTTTATTTATCCTAATCTCATAAAACGCAAAATTTTCATATGAACTCATTCATTATTATTATGAAGAATAAAGGCAAACTAAGGTTACCTTTAGAAAAATTACTTTGCCGAAGTTTAGATAAAACCGAATAGTTGAAAATGGAAATAACATTCATGGAAATTATTTTTGCATATAGGAACAAGGTGATGGAATCGACAACAACAATGTTAAGATCACAGTAGCGCGTTTGCGCATTATTAAACTTTTTTGGAAATGAAGTCGAATAAGGCACATATAATTTTGTCAGCAGTTCAATATTTTCAGTAAATAATGTGCCCGTAAAAAATGAATACGAAAGAGATACTCATGCCACTTGTATTAATCTTTTTTCTATTTAAAGTACAAAAATATTTAAATTTAAATTTTAAGTTCAAACTAAGTGATTGATTTTTCTTTTTTTTCTTTATACTATGAATGAAATGTTGAATGATACTGAGTTGTAAGTCAATTTTATAGAATCTTTCTAGAAGAATCAATGGGAATTGGAGTAAATACATTTAAAGAATTGAGGCTTTTGTATACGATTATATGCATTTTGTTTCGTCTGACATGTTTTATTATTTGGTCCAAAAATTTTTATATTAAGAAACCAAAAAAAGTATTAGACTTTAACACATAAATATCATATATGTGATAAGTGCGTTCATAAGCTACCCAGATAAAATATTTATTGTACATGAGCATATTAAAACGCACAGTAGCAATAACACATGAATACAGGTTTTGTATTCTGACTGCATTCAAATGTTACTTAAAGTTGCTTTTAATGGCATTCAGACACAATACTGTTTCAGGTTGTGTTTGAAAACAACTGTGTCATCGGGTTTGAGCTACATTTCGAGTCTTTCGTTTCTACAATTTGTCACCTAGTTGTGCTCCTAATAACTTTAAGTGAGAACTAACATTGAACTTCATCTTTCAATTAAAGTAAACATTTCTGCTTAACTTTTAATCCCTCGAAGATGGGAGTCAAATATATGTGGTTTGGTTCTAAATCACTTTTTAACTGACGGATGAATATCTTTAGTGATATTTTTCTGGTGTCTTTCAGAATACTGGTTATGGGTTTCGGTTGCTCTCATTCCCGCAAATATTTCTTTTCTCTTCCTGGAAGAACGATTCATATATTCCGTGAGAATCTTACCTAGCAGCTTCGTCGCGTTTCATCTTCTCAAAAGCAATTCCATCTTCAAGGGATTATGTTTTTTTCTTGAAATTTAAAATGCTATATTTAACGTATACGTTATACCACAGGAAAATTGATTTTGTGAAAAATAGTGGTGGTGCATATCAGGACATAATGTTGTTGCAAGACTGTTTTTCAATGAATGATCTGTAAGTGTCAAACCTGATACGCATCCTCATTTATTTCTACTTCACAGCCTAGTTGATCTTCATGAAGTTGCATGGCGGATACAAACATGATGAAATTTCTGGTTTGCACTTGTTCATTCTTATTTTCTATTTTTGATGCAATGTTAGTCACTGACATTTTAAGTTGCAAATTATTAAGAATAGCCGTATTAAGAATTGCAAAAACAACAAGGCTTTAATACGTCGTCATAATGATTTGATATATAGTTTTTACATTTTTTTTGAATGAAAAATAACTAGTTTAGTTTACTCTTTCATACCTGCTCACCTATATTTTGATGAATGAGTTTTCCTTCTTGATGAAATGCGATGCACTCATAGCTAGAGACGCGTTTACATGCATCTTATTTATACAAAACAAAAACCCGCGTTTAAACGCGTTACTGAAACTTAAAAGCGTCCGTTGCGTACAAACTAAGCGCATTCAAACGCAAGAGTAAAATTAATCGCGTTGAAACGCGTGTAAAAACTAATTTGAACCAGTTTTGATGCGTTCTAATCGCGAAGCGCGTCTAAACGCATGCAAAACTTTGCAACGCGTTCAAACAACCATATGGTGAACGCATTCCAGTGCGTTTGGAGGCAGTTTCAATTTTAAGACGCGTTTAAACGCGTCAAAAAAGCGTTTCATGGTTACATGGGTACTATTTAATGTTTTCAGAACTTTTGGTCAGACCTAAGTAAGTTCATTATTTTGTAATATTTTTTTGTTGTTGATTGATTACTTTATTGTCACGTTGAGAATTTTCGTCAACCAATTCTAAGAACATAACAGATCGAGCTGGGAATGCGTCTAGTTTCGGATATAGTGTAAAATCACTGATATCAATATATATGCCTTGCTGTTTCCATTTCTGAACCATTTGTCGAAGAGCATTCATCACATGTTGTTCAGTTGTATTTTCTCCATTTATACTAAGAATATTTCCAGTACGATATGCAATCGAAATAAGAGGTAGTCGAGGTATCTCTGATTTTTTAAATGCTAATGAAACAGCATCATCTGCTTCGGAAAGAAATCTTGTACAAGTATCTGCATCTCTCATTCGATATCGAATTGGGTGTGGGTTTTTCTTCTTTGATCATCCACACCCACACCCACACTCATACCCAACTTGTTAAATTTCCTTTGCGAAAATATTCGTTCCAACGATTATAGGACCTAATTAATGCGGGACGCATCCAAACATGTCATACATGATGAGATCTTTCTGAAATAAGAACATCTTTGATGAAAACCCGCTTTCCATTAGTTAATACTTCACTTCGTCTGTGCACTTTCTTCTAAAAATTCTGACATGTTCTTATCATGGAGGATCTGATTCATAATTGAAAATAATATGTCTCCGAGGATTTAAAATGAGATGTGTTTTATGAGACACTCCTCCTATGTATGAGGACATATTTTTTTCGCATAAAGATGACTAGTTGCTTTTCGAAACAGACACGAAAGATTCTAAAATCACTCTCAATATTTATTCAATCGCTCTTTTTCTGTAAAAATGTTTCTTCGTAGATAACCATATTCATTCAAACTAGGCAGAAACTAATAACTAAGCTGATGGTGCATTTCATTTTAAACCAATTCTATTTATACGAGCCAATCCTCAACATAAGCAACTTACTTTGACTGAAAAAGGTTTAATTTTCTTTCTTTAAGTTATTTATACTCTTGGATAAAAGTCCTTCCTCTTCTTTGTTTCTATACTATCATACTCTACATCAAATTTATGATCAAATAAAAATAAGACATAAGAGTTTTATCTCAGTGTAATGTATACCATATTGAAATAAAACTCTTATGCCGTATCTTTACTCGGCAATAAATTTGATGCAAAGTATGATATTATAGAAATAAATAGGGATAAAGACTTTTATCCGACGATGTAGTTATATAGGACATAAATATTACCAGTGATAGATCGTATGCTTTAGAAAAAATAGTGCTATTATAGATCGCACCAAAATTTTAGGGTATGGTGTCTATATTGTTTCAAGAACATTCTTCTAACCAACAATTGTTTTCTTATTTTTTGCATGAAAATATTATCCGATTCTTTTCCACTGTATGAGCGCGTAATAAGCAAAATAAACACGTTTACTAACGATGTATTGGACAAAAAATGGTTGAAATTAGAATTTTTCGTTGAGATCACTAAAAACTTTGACTTTTTTTAGGGACATAATAGAAGGCCCCCTTGTAACTTGTGGACGATAAGACAAAATAGAAGGCCCCCTTGTAACTTGTGGACGATAAGACAAAATAGAAGGCCCCAGGTCTTCTAATGTGTCGAGGACTTTAATTAAGTCACAGGCAATTGATATTAACCCTATATTGTTCAGTTAACTTCATCGAATAAAAATGTGCCATTACTTTTTAACCATTTATTGTTAGACATTCTATATATTATCTTTCGTCCAACTCTAATATAGATGACCTTTTCATCTTCACAAAATTTAGCTAATCACAGATGTACTTTTCGTCTCTCATTTTTTTTGATAAATAAAAATACGGTTTCTTTATTATTTTGTTAGATTTAGTTATCTATTATTTCCACTAGAACAAATCATTTTTTTTCGTTAAGTTAACGTTTAATTGTATGAGAACAGTATAGTATTTATCAATATAAAAATATTTGCATTTATCTCTAACAGATTTTTTTTTGTCGTTTTTTTCGCATCATTAGGAGGTATATAGTGTTTTTCTAGTTTTCGTCCATCGTTATAAAGATAATTATCTCCTCCTTATCACTCAATCAAAAATAGTAGCTCCGTCATTTTTTTTCCATTCAGACATAGAAATGAATTCGTATTTTTTTTATTTCGTTGAAATAAAGAGATAGATTTTTATTTTTTCGGTCAGTTGAAGTATAGGGATAAATTCTTATTTTTTCGTTTATAGTCTCGATATAGCAAATTCGTACTTAAAGAAAATTACAACCAAAAGAGTTGGATAATTTTGATGGTTAAGTCAGAACAGAAACATTTCTATTTTTTTGAATTTTTTCGCACTTTATTAATACTATAATAAAAAAAATTGTTTAATCAAATTAGATTATAATGTGTAACAAACAATGGAAGTTGAATGAATATTTAACTTATATACTTTTAACATTAGTACTTTTATCGTCTTGGACAGACATAAATGGTATATTTACTGAACTACCACAAATCATTTTAACACAACCGGAAGGTTGGAAATTGGGTAGTCATATTGGACTTGTTGCTAGTATAAGTAATATTGCACCATTGGCGCTTATTTTTTGTAAATGTACTTTTCGAAAACGATCTCTCAATGTAATACCAATCAATTATATTGTTATTTTTATTGGTATGGTATCATGCTTTCTTCTCATTTTCTTTTGGTCAAATACAACTTATATTTTCAATCGTAATCGTAGTGTAACTCTTCTTATTCTTACCTTCTTTCTAGCATTACTTGATTGTACGGCAATGGTTACATTTTCACACTATACAACACGTTTTCGAACTGAATTTACAAGTGCTCTTTTTCTGGGTGAAAGTCTTACTATGATTATTCCAAGTCTTCTGGCTATTGTACAAGGTAATGGACAACTTACATGTGTTTCTTCAGCTAATAACAATATTATATTGAACGTTTCCACTATTGCCATTTATAAAACAGCACGATTTTCGGTTTCAGTCTATTTTCTTTGTATTTTTCTTATATTGGTAACGTCATTTATTGCATTCGTGCTTCTACAATGGACTAAAATTGCTCAGAATAGTACTCAAGATACCACTAAAGAATCTATGATGTTAGAAACTAATGATGCAAATACATTAGACATTGTAATTGATTCCGATACCACTATCAAATCATCACGACATAAATTAACACCTCTGTTCTATATACTGCTCTTATTGGGATCCTTTTACACAAGTTCAATTATATTTGGAATGGTTTTCTCTATTTCAGCTTACGTTCTTATGCCGTATGGTCATCAAATTTTTTATTTGGGTACAATTCTTTCTCCATGGATGCTTGCACTTACATGGTTATTGGGTACAATTAAATCATTTGTCATTAAACGTTATTTGTTAATTATGATCATACTAGGATCGATTATATTTAGTTTTGATTTGATATTATCATTGAAAAGTCCCTGTCCGCCATTGTTGAATACCATGAAAGGTAATGTTCTTGTTCTTATTATTTGGTTAAGTACATTTATTCTTCTTGGTTATCCTCGTCTCGTCATTGCCAATTATGTCCGTATTCACTCGACAAATGGAATGTTCTGGTTTGGTGCTAATGTACAGTTAGGTGCATTGATAGGTTCTATCATTGCTTATCTTATGATTGAAACATTCTCACTATTTAAAGAAAAATTACCATGTGAAAAAGTTCAATGTTAATTAGAATAATATTTATTGTAGAGTGCAAAACAAGTGTACCTCCTATTGTCATAGTTCTATTGTATTTATAGAGTTTCTATCTTGCTTGAATGCGGTGGAGATGTCGATATTATATTGAGCACTCACTTCACATCTACATCCAAACTGTTAGTAGAACAATGTGGATACTGCCATAAATATTGTTCTGTTTCAATTTAGGATCACATGACTCGATTCTTTATTAATTTTATTTCTGTTTTGCGCATGAGATCATTTAGTCAAAGTTTTGAACAACATTTTCGAATCAGAGATCCGAGACTCGCCGAGTTTTCCCGCCTCGCCTCGCCGCGAGGCGAGGCGAGGCAGTATTTTTTGCACCGAGGCGAGTACGAGTTGGTTTTGAGACTCGCCGAGTCAACTCGCTTACTTATACAATATAATTTTTGGTGATTAAATAGTAAATCGCTAACGATATCTCTCGATTTTATTGTGGATTTTTTTAAGAATTTGTATTGGTGATGAAGTTCAACTAATCGCGACAATAAGTGAGTATGGATATATATATTATATATGTATTCATCTATTCGATCTAGTCGAACATATATATTATATATATATTCATCTA